GCCTAGGCCTTCTTGAGGCTTCCTAACCAAATTATTCTTGCTAACTCATATTTTTTCTTTCCCTCAGCTTTCCTATTCAACTTTACAATCAGATCCAAAATCAGAGCCGTTACCTACTGTAATTGTACTGTTATTTTCTGTCATTTTCCTGTATACCCTTCTAAAGAGGAAGTTTTTTTTAAATACCAACATTTTTTTTCCCATAGCCAATTTAGAGGGCACAACATAAACATCTGAAACATCTTTATCAGGATATTGTTACTTTTCAAGAGTTACTTGAAAAGGTCCCCATAAAAGTTTTCAGCTTCTTCTCTAGAAGAGCTTCCAAAGAAGAGGTTTTCTGACCTTATGAAAGATTCAGAGTAGAATTTTTTTCCCCCTCTTTTGGATGGTTTGTGGGGGGTTTTTGGGTTATTTTTTTTTTACTCTCACTCAGATTGATCTAGACTAGCTCTACCTCAGTCTCTGTGACATCTAGAAATGCATATTAATTATAAACCCTGTCTTGCCTTCACATACACCATATTCCACGATGTGGTAGTAGGGACAACCATTCAGAGACCAAGGGAAGACTAGTTGCTTTTACTTTCTTAGAAATAGGATAAGGAGGTGTTTCAGGGAAGAAGGTGTTTTCTTTTTTCTCCTGGAAAGAGGTACAAATTTTCAGCAACAGTAGATCAGTGCTAATTTTAGGAAAAGTTATCCATATTCACAAGATTACTTATGGAAAAAAAAAATCCAAAGAAACTGACGAAAGCATTTATTTCTGAAGGTGAGCAAGTATCAAAGTAGTCCCTAAGGGATGCCTTTGACTTTCCACAATCTGCAGTGAGAACTCCGGCTTCTGCAATTTCCATTAAGCAGCCTTGTTTGGCTTTCTAATCATCTGGACTTCTTCCAGAAATCAAAGCCAAAGCTGAGATCCTCCTTTTTGAAGGAGAAAGTCTTTTTAGCACACCAAGTAAGCTTTGAACACACACTGAATATGTAAACAGGTCTCAGAATTTACCAACAGTGCATAAGAAAGCCAGACAAGTGTCACTGATGCTACCAAAGTCATGAACATCCTTTCTTCTCTCCTCTAGTACAGCATTCCATCTAGTGCCTCCCTGCTGCCAGAGCAAAGCTAAGCGTCCCAGGCCTTTTTAGAGGTTCAGATTTGAAAGGCTGCTCTAGAAGTACCAGTACTGCTCTTACAATGCATTGTTTATACCTACCTTCCTTCTCAATTTGCTAATTATACACTGACCTTTCAAGTGGAAAGCCATACAGCGCATTTTTCTGTGTTGTCCCTCATGACGGGAAATGCAGGAAGCATCTGAACAAGAAAAGAACCCAACACATTTCCAGTTTTTCCTAGGTGAACTCTACCTATTCTTACACCCTTTCCCTATCCTCTCAGTGTCCTCAGAGAACCTTCAGAGGCAATGCTACAGGGCCAGGCACAGACACAGGCAGTAACCTACTCGGACTCCCTTCTTACCTCTTGGTACTCTGGGCTGATATTCTTCTACCCTGTCCTCTAACATGCATTAGGCACATTGACCTCTAGGAACTAACAGGCTGCTGTGTAAGAGCTCATTCCTATTGCTGCTTTTGATTCCAAGTCTTTTATCTTTGTTGAAAGTGGAAGCGTAATCCTAAAAGAGTAATATCCTGGGTACTCTGGTGAAGCCTATTGTGCAGCTGCCTCTTTTGGTTAGTGTTTCTTACTAGCCAAGTGACCTTCAATCTTCCCTGTAACACCAACTTAGAAGCTGCCTCACTGGTTATGCATTCACTCTCCTCCTTAGAAGATTACAAGAATTCTATAAGCGACCATCTGCACTCTTGCCCCTTTCCTGAGCCTGGCAATGTCCTAGTGTGAGGGAAAGTGTTTGCCCATTTCTCTTCATTCTGTGTTAAGGCTTTTCTGGTCTCAGAACCACAGCCTGACACTGCTGCTGGTAAACCAGTCTGCCGAAGTGACCTCCTCCTTGTTCCTTTTCTTCATATAGTTAAAAATCACAGCTTTTGCTGTCTTATTCTTTTTACAGATCAGTGTCCTTTGCCATCCTCCCCATATTATACTCATTCTTTCTACCCAGATAACTCCATTTCCTCTTCCTCTTTTCTCATGTCTGTTCTTCTGCAGCATTGCAGAACTTTGGTTTTGCTCCACTGAATGGTTCCAGCTTTCTCCTAACGTTCCTGTTTTTCCTTTCTGGATCCTAGCCTCAAATTTCAAAAACACATTCCGCATCTAGTTTGGGCTAAGATTCATACCACTGAACTTTAGATATCTGAAATTCTGCATCTAGCCCAGACAGCTGCTTATAGGAGAGCCCCTGTAGTCTGAAGAGAGGAGAAGGACCTTCACAGAACAATCCTTCCTCCTCTAAAATACTTTTCTAGACCAAACAGGATGAATCACACTGTGAAAGAGCCCATTAGGGCAGTCTGGCTAGATGGGAATACCCAAACTGCTTCAAGCTGTAAGTTATCTCCATGGTTTCTTTCCAGCATACTTTTAAATCTGCCTAAGTTATACTATTATCTTTAGTTTCACCTTACATCCTTCAATCTTCCACAAGGATCACTTGATATTTCAAGAATCAGAGGTTCTGTTGAATATCCCCTCAAGGAAGATGCACAGCCCAGGGGCTCAAAATCCCACCCCCTTTATGTGTCCTCTCTTCTGGAAAATCTATAGCACTGCTTCAAGACAGATGCTCCTACTGATGTGGGAGCCATCATCGTCTTTTCTTTTAGTTGTCAGACTACAGGAAGGAATGATGAAAGCTCTCCAAACTTCCTACACTGCACTCCTACACCACCTTCCTTATTTCTTCTAAGATCAGTGTCATGGCAACTAGCACTTCTCATCTTCCCTTTGTAAGCCGATGAATTGGTTTAGAGGCACTCCATTACCAATGCTCTTTATTTGCATTGCTCTAAAATAAGTTGTGTTGCTCTGAAAAGCCTGAAAGATTTTAGCAAGTGCTGAATAAACTAAGTAGTTCATGTATAAATAATATAACAGCTATCACTACATTTTTAATGGATGCATCATGAACATATTTTTAGATAGCTTATGTTATTCAGAACAGCTCCAGTATCTGCTTCTCAGTCCCATATAAGCAATTCCAGTTTCACAGTTCTGTGTCCGTCTAAAACATTAGACATGAACTATTTAGACATGGCCTTTTCAGTACTGTCTCCAGTACAGCTTCACTGTTGCACAGGAGACCATCCCACTCCACAGGCAGCCTGCTGACCATGGTGGGATGGCTTCAGGAAAAAGGTGCTACTGGATATTCTCCCATACTTCCTCCAGATTTATCCACCTATATCTTCTTAAAAAGATGATGCATTAGAGATGTCACTGTAAATCAGATGACATGCTGATGAGAGCTTCTACTTCTCCCTACCCTCATGAAACCAGGGGCACAAGAGGCATTGGGAAGTGTAAAAGTCAGTCATGGGGTAGTCAAGTACAAAAGCCACCTGCACAGGGAGCTGTCCCCTGCCCTGTTAGTCACTGGAGAGTCAACCATGAAAACCACCTGCTCGGGGAGCTGTCCACTGCCTTGCAGGGACACAGTCACACAAGGCTACTGCTCTAGAAACCCAGAGCTCTAGGCTGGTGAGCTCCAAGCCCTTTCAAACTCAGCAGGCAGCTGAGCCATCCCCTCTCTTGTCCCCCAAAGGCTGTGACTCACACAGGGCCAGGCCAGCCTGCGCCAAGCCACCGGCTCTCGCCTCCCCACTTACTCCTCTTTGCGGTGAAGCTCCTCCTCGGACTCGCTAAGCCGCTGCTTCAGGGCTGCGATCATCTCCACGGCCACGTCCACCTGCCTGCTCAGGGCCCGCTCCCGCCGCTGCACCTCCTGCTTCTTCTGGGACAGCTGCACGAACGCCGCCCGCACCTCCAGCAGCTCCGCCGTCTTCTGGGACAGCTCTTTGGTAAGCTTGTCGATCCGCTTCTCGATCGTTTTGTCCACGGCCTCCACCATCCTGTTAAACTTTTCCCGGACATGTGCCTCGAAGGAGGCTTTGGAGTCAGTGGCCGGGAGCCCGGGTTTAGACACCTGCTCGCTAGGAGACTCAGCCGACACATAGTGGGCCAGGTAGGAGCCGGGGCGCTCCGCGGGCAGCTCCCGCGGCTGCCCGCCCTTCCCGCTCCCGCAGGACGCGCCGCCCAAGTTCAGGAAGGGCCCCGCGGAGCCGCCGGGGCTCCCCGGGCTGCCCTGGGGCGCGGGCTCCGGCGGGGACACCAGCTCCGCATCCTTCAGCGGCGAGAACAGGCTGCTCCTGGCCAGCAGGCTACTCTCCTGGAAGTTATGGCTGTACTCCAGGTGCACCCGCAGGGAGGAGAGGCTCCGGAACCTGGTGTGGTCACCGCATCGCGGGCAGCGGAAGGGGAGGCTGACGCTGCCGAGCGGCTCCGGCCAGGGGTGCCCGCCTTCATCCCGGGCCGTCTGTTGCATTCCTCGCCAGGAGAGAACAGCCTGGGTCCGCGCCCGACGGGGAAACTTGGAAAACTTTCCCGGCGATTCCTCAGGGGTGCCGCGCCATCTCCGCCCGGGAACGCGCCCGCCCGGCGCGGCGCTCCAGCCGCCCGGCCCCGGCCGCTCCACCCGGCTCTGCTCGGAGCGGCTCCGCTCGCCTCTGCCGCCGCCGCACGGGCCTCGCCGGAGCGGGGCGGGGCCGGGCTCGGCGCGGGCCTCGGCGCCCGCAAGGTTGCCGCACTCACCCGACTTGTTGCTGGCGGCGGCGTTTTCAGCAGAGCCGTAAATCAGCCCGGGCGCGGCACCGCCGCCGCGGGGCGGGGCGGGCAGGCGGGGATGGGCTGAGGGGATCGGCGGGGATGGGGATGCGGAGAGGGGGTGCCCGGCGGGGGATGCTGCGGGTGGGTGTGGGTGGCAGCACCCAGCCGAGGCCTCGGGGCCGGGGTCGCTCCCCTCCTCCTGCCCCCGCCTGCCGTGGGCGCCGGGCCGGGGGGTTCGCGGGGGGGTGTTTGCAGGGCGCTGGTAGCGGTCACAGCAAAGCAATGAGTGAGCTGCGCGGGGTGTGTCGGGGAGATGCTGAAGGATAACGCAGTTAAAAGCACTTAAGCGGCAAGATACGACTGGCACGTGCAAATAGGTATAACCTGGCCTTGGCTTTGGGGGAATATAATTGTTTGTGTGATTTTAAATCACAGAATCAGCTGGGTTGGAAAGAACCTCTGAGATCAAGTCCAACCCTTCATTTTTTGTATTTTTTTTTTTAATCCAGTCCGGGTTTCCCCCCATTCCGTACTCCGGCCAAAATCCAGTTTGGGTTTTCCCCCCATTCTGTACTCCGGAAAAATCCAGTCCTGGTTTTCCCCCATTCCGTAGTCCGGAAAAATCCAGTCCGGGTTTTTTCCCTTTCCGTGCTCCAGACAAATTCCAGTCCGGATTTTCCTCCACCCCCGAGAAATTATTCAAACCGTCTTAAATGGGGCCTGAACGGGAATAGAGGCAAGGATGGAAAGGAGATCCTGCTCCAGGACTGTTCACAACCGAACGGAAAGAAAAGCGCTACAGGTCCTCTCTGCTGGACAAGAGGTACGCGGTTGCAGGAACAGGGCTAGGTAAGTGCCCGGAGGTAAGAGAGCCTCCAGATCGAAACAAGGCTGCTTCAAGCAACCAGGGGAAGCAAATAGCGCCGAAACAAAAAAGACGGGAGAAATACCTGCCCGGAACAAAAACTGCTCAGGGAATGGGGTCTAAATATGTCCTCAGAGCAAAAGAGAGTTTACGAAGCGATAAAACGCCTCTTTAAACAACATGAGGCCGTCTCCGACACGCCGCCCAGCCCGCGAACTCGTTTGCAGACCAGGAGAACTACGAGACCGGCTCCCTCAGCAACTCCGAGCCACCCAGCACGGCCCCGAACCTGCCTTTCCATCTCCGAGGGTGAGGGCGGCAAGGAGGACCAGCTCGGGGGGAGGGGCCGTACGTAAGTGATCAGGAAAGAAAAGCAAAATCTCTCACTCTTCAGTCCTTTTAATCACTTGTGGGTAACTTAAAACCAGAGAATTGCATTTTACTAAAAAATGAGTATGCAAAAAGCTTTAGGGGGTTCTCCTGGGGAATGGGTCTTTGTGCTTAAAGTTGTAGTGAAATGCATCGGTCTTGGTTGTAATTTGCCCCTGTGAAAACCTTCTGCCAAAATATCGTATTAAACAAAAAAACCCAGAGTTTTGGGAAAAGGAAAACAAGCCCCTACAGAAACAGTTTCTGTTAGGAGAAAAAAAAAAAAAAAGTAACCCTTCTGCTACAGACAGCCTTAGCAGAGTAAGAGATACGTGGTTAGTAGTCACACATTAAGACTAACTTGTTGCCTAGTAACCAGGTGAGAGATTTGGATCTCTCCGACCAGAGAAAACTACATACCCAGAAAAATTTGAACTGCCAATTTTTCGGGAGAAGTAGATTCTCTCGTTTTCTGCCCGTGTTCTGGGGAAAGGAAAAGGTAAAACCCTCCTGCTTCACACAAAAACTGCAACTTTGCAACCTTGTGGTTGGGGAAAGAAATTATCTCGCCTTGCAACACTGGTGAGGGGGGGGAGGACAGAACTCCTAAAACCTCTCCTCTCTCGCTTTCAGTTTCCCTGCCATGTAGGATGGGGGAAGAAAGGCACTGCAACCAGAAAGCCCTTATATCACTCAGTTTCCTTATCGGTAGCTAGCTTCTAACAAGCCCTTTGGGGGGGGGGGGGGGGGGGAAACCCAAAAACCTCTGGGGAAAGAGGAAAAAAAAAGGCTACCTTCTTTAAAGAAAGTTTAGAAACCAAGTAAAGCTCCTACAAGCTGCCTTTATACTGTCACCCTCTAAGATACTCCTACGAATAAAAGTCAAAGATGAAATTTTAAATTTATAAGGTTATTAACCGGAAAAGTCTGTCTCACAAACCAGAACCCTGAATGTGTGCTTGAACAGGCAAGCTGCTTTCAGCAAAAAGGAAAAGAACTATTACCGGATTCCTGCAATATCTGCAAATGAGAAATGAAATCGACTTCAAAACCCACACGGAACATGAACTTGAACAAGCAGCAACAGACCAGAAACTGTGAAGTAAAAATCACCGAATACCTTGCCTTTTGTGTTTGCAGCAGAATCTCTTAGTGTAACACATACTATTAAGTTTTGTTTTGTTGTTAAGATAACGTTTCCCTGTGTTTCCTAATTGTTTCAGCAAAAGAAAAGATTCCCTAATAATTCATATTAAGATTCATGCAGGATTTCATGCGAATAATCAAATCAGGTTATACCAAAAAAGCTCACAGCATCTGCTTTTAATAAGTTGCCACTTTAAACACATATTTGCCTCATTGCTTTTACCCTAACACACACCATACATCACTGACAAACTGCAGAGATACAAAAGGACTAGAAAGTTCCAAACAAGACCACATGGCTGTGACAGCTATAAAAGGCACTGTGTTTACATACAGATTGGATTTAAAGAGTTTTCTAGGTTTATGCAATAAAAACAGGTCCAACAAAGCAAAGTTTTAACAGGTTGAAGTGAATAGCAAGACTTTCATATGCTTCTTAAAACTGACTATAAAGATATGCAGGCACCTTTAAACAGCTATGACTCCTTCATATGCCTATATAATGCCAAGCTTTGTGGCTCAAATTATTCTGACATATATAATCATACTTTCCATTTCAGGTATATAAAAAGCTACACACTGCCTTGAAAAAAGAGTCTTCTTGCTAAAATGAATTCTCACTTGTGGTGTTAAAAGTAAGGCTGTAGAATTTTGTTCTTAGCTCATTCTAAGTCAATACATCAAAGCATTGATAAGCATGTTTAGTTACCTTGATAAGCTTGTCAAATAAAGTATTCAGTTTTGGACCCTCACACTGGATCATGCAATTATTCAAACTGTCTTAATAACCCTTGTAACTATCCAAGCATACAAGGAGTAAATGCAGTATAGTAGTGTGCATCGGACACTGGTGTCCACCTCAGATTGGTGTGAAGCAGCCACGTTACTGTATCAGTTTCATGCATTTAGCTGTGCTTCTGGGTTTATATAAATATATATTTAGAAGCCAGAAAGCTTTGTGGATTTTTTTGTTTGTTTGTTTCTTTGCTTGGTTTGGTTTTTAATTATTATTTCTTTTAAATATGACCCTAATTTAGTCTCAGTATTTAGGGAGGGGGAGCAGTAAAAATGGGATTTCCATTTGAAGTATGAGGAACGGATGTCATAGATTTACAGAATAGTTTGGTTTGACCCTTAAATGCCATCTAGTCCAGTTTCCCTGCAGTGAGCAGGGACATCTTCAACTAGATCAGGTTGCTCAGAGTCCTATCCAACCTGACCTTGAATGTTTTCAGGGATGGGGCATCCTGCACCTCTCTGGGAACCTGGTCCAGTGTCTCACCACCCTCACTGTACAAAATTTCTTCATTATCTACTAAATCTAAAGTCTAAGTCTTCTCTAGGTCTAAATCCATGTGATTGATGTTAGAGTACACTGCCAATATGTTCTCTCAATAGGGAAATATGCTTCTAAATTTTTTTTATGCCACAGATGTGTTTCTATTTTTATAAATTTTTGGAAACATGGGCAAGGCTGGTTGTAGAGTAGCAGCCTTTTTGAGATAATAGTGAAATATTGCACTTCCAAAATCTAGTGCTTGAGGCCATAGTGGTAATATGCTGCAGATTCTTTTTATTACTGTGGGAGAAAGCACTGCAGTAAAGTTTATTTCTGTACTAATATGTCTATTCCTTGAGTGCAATACACAGGCAGAGTCCTAAACACTGAGAAAATCTGAGCACATTGATATTTGATGTAATTAAGACATTCCCAGTAAATTATTCACCAGATGGCACATCAAAGGAAGTTACTCAAATTGCATTTCAGAGCTTCAGCTAATCTCTAAAGTGTGTGGGCTACCATCCAGGCTGCAACATTTTGCATGAGTTAGTTGTCCTGTATCACCTTGTCTAAATGTGATTTTCCCTTCTTTTGTCCTCAGGCAGTACCAAAAACTAGAAGGGAGGTAATGAGGGAATACTTTTGAATTGTTTGTCTCCAGATTCAGGGCTTCTGACTATTTCTTTGTAGGAGGCCAATGCTGGCAGGATGTGACCCTGCTCTGATTCCCGTTTTCTTGGTTGTTGTCTTCTGTCGTCCATTATCTTTCTCTGTTGTGCCCATAGCCTTCCTACCTTCTCCCCACATCAGGGGAAGGTGTTTGGGGCTGAGGCTCCAAGGTGCAGATGGATGCTGTACAAGCGAGGTGAACTTAGTATGGTGAGATTTGCCTGAGGCTCCATCCACATTTAGAAGAGCTGATACCCTCCTACCCTCTCTAGCCGATGGTAACAAGAGACATCATGGTCTTAGGAACAGAAAATGTTGATGACTTTGAAGGAGCCCATTGATCTGCAGCCTCAGCTTCATGGGTTTGGACGGTTAGGTCTGAAATCCATCAACCATCTAGTCCCAGCAATTCTTCTTTCAAGGTTTCTCAGGGTTTACTGTACTCTAAATATTTGTTTTGCTGAATTGGGATCCAGCTCCTCATCTCTTCAGTTACCTACTCCTGATGCTCCCATTTGGATGCCCAGTTCAGCTATTCTCTCATCATTTGGATAGGAACAGCCCTCCTTTTATATACCAGTAAGTGTGCATTGTACAGTGGAGGACGTACATCAACCATTATATGTCTGAGCTTCATCCCCTGTGACTGGAATCTGGAGTGGGTAGAATCTAACACCATCACTAACACAAAGCCTGGATTGACACAGCCATAATGCATGACTCATTCGTGAAAGTTTGCCAAATGCTGGGGAGGCATTATCGAGCTTATTTGTATGCATCTCTTTCTTTCAAGATCTCTTTAAACACTTTGCAGTATGATTTCCAGAAGGATAAAAGTTACTTAAATAAAACCAGCATGTACCAACCTGCTGGTGCTGTAAGGAAGGTGGAATATTCATAATATTCAGCCTTTTTTCAGGTAGTGATCTGTATCTGTTGTACAGGTCCCATCTGACCTCTTCCTATTTTGAGGGTTTCTACAAGCTTAAAAATCCCACTTCAAAAGTGAAGTAAATTTTGTTTGGCTGATAATTCCACTTTACTGAAGGTGGATAGAAAAGGGACTGTTTTAAAACCAGTTTGCATTTCAAGAGTTACCGTAGCTGTTTATCTTCTGATTTTTTTTTCTCATGCTAAACAAGGAAAATAGGTGAGTCGGTTTTGTTTTCACTTGCAGCCACTTTCCCCTTCAGGCTTGCACTGCTGACGTGTTCAAGGGGGCCATTTTTATGTGGTGTAGAACTGGATTCAGTATGATCACTTTGGCTGCATCCAGCAGCCTCTGACTTCCTTGTTTGTGTAGTGGTTTGCTTTTGAAAAAGGGGTGTCAGAAATTTTTGTCTCTCCCCTTCATGCCCACGCTCCCCACCCAGGGAGCTGGTTTTTAGGAGATGTGGGGAGTTACTGTTGGGGAAGTTTTACTAAACTATATGTGGGCATATAAAGAGATACAGCTGCACATCCCTTACCAGTGCATGCAGAGGGGGTTGGGAGTTTGGCTCCAGCAAGTAGCACAGTCTCCCCATTCTGTAAAAGCTGGGCCTGAAAAAGGCGTGTCTGTTCAGCTCAGCTTATTTGTATGCTGGGAAGTGCCGTGTTTTTCCTGGTGTTTGAGCATGAACCACAAATGCACATGACGACTTGAACAGCTGAAACCTACTTGCATTTAATATTTACCATCTCTCGATTTACTGGGAGGAAGTAACAAGTGAGTAGTGAAATCTAAGGAATGACCTTAGAAACTTGTAAGAAGTGTTTTAGTGACTTTTATGGTAGTGGTGCCTTAGACTGGGACTCAGGTTAACTTTGCATGCAGATATATTCAGGAATTATCAAACATACAACAATGTTTATTTTGTTGCCACAGGCACTCATACCCACCCAGCAGGAAGGAGACTTTTGGTGGTGCATTTTAGCACACTGATTGAGTAGCACTCTGCTGGCAGAGAGAGTGAAGAGGAAGGAGGAGAACGTGAATGTAGGTATTGAGTTTATGTGACCGTTGGGTGCTGCTTAGTTGATTTCTAGTTAATTAATCTCTTCTGCTTTAATTTGCACCATTTAGGCCATACCTGGTGAGAGTTGTTGGATGTGAGATGGCTGTGGGCATATTTTCCAAAAGAGAGGAGGAGGTGGGAAGGAGTGTCAGCAATAGATACAGCCTAAACTTCAGCCATCTTGATTTTTCTTCAAAAAAAGTTACTGCACTTAGTTAGAAGGATAAACAAAATAAAACAAATGCCTCTTGAGAGAAAAAGTTGGGGGAAACTTGTCTTCCAACAGAGTTACTCTTTACTGGGCTTATTTTGTAAGGGAAGAAGAACATATCAAGTTTCCAGTGCCTCTACTTCTGGGAATGAAAGTCTAGGCTCTAAGTTGTAATACGCACAAGAATAAACTGGAGCCTTTTAACGAAGCTGTCTTGCTACTGCTCCCCACACTATTGGCCACAGTGTAGCAGCAGCTCTGTCAACAGCAATGGGACCTTGAGTTCTGGTACTCTGGGACAGAGGAAGGTTAGGACATCCCTGGTGGCAGCAAGGGACAAACCTAGCATGGCTCTCCAAAAAGAATGTCATATGTTGTTGGAACAAACTGGCCTGGCGTAAGGCAGCTCTGTGCAGCTGATGAGTTCCTGCCCAAGTACTCTTTGTGGGATTAGCTACCAGGTTGCTGTTCCCAGAGCTCTTCTGAAACAGACAGAATCTGCAGCAAAAAGGGGGAAATTTGTTTTTGAAAGAAGCTGCCCCACTCCAAAAAAGAGACTGAAAGGTGGGAAAAAAAAAAAGTCAAGATGTCTTTAAAGAAAGATTCCTCCATTTGGATCTCTCCAAAAGCAAAGCCTTTCCCTCACTGGGACTTATTAAAATACAGACATTTTCTCCAAAGAAAAGAAAAGCACAAAGCCTCCCATCAAAGCAGAATTTCAAGCAATTTAATTTGGAGAGCATTCTTTCTGCAACAGGCACTGGATGGTAAGGAACACCACGTTTAAAAGTTCATACCGCATGCCTTCCATGTTTGAGGAGCTGCGTGTGAAATAAATCACACTGACTTCCCAACTGAAAAAAGTGCCCACAAGGCCATAAAAAGCCTGAGAATTGCCATCTATATCTAATTAGCTGATTCGGTGCCTAATCCTATGCACTGGGGTTTGAAAAGTTTTTAATTTACATAAGCAGAGACATAAAAAGAACAGTGTTAAGTTGTGGTGGCAAATTCAGTCCTCTGCCATATCCCAGCCTGTGGGAGAGTAGTTCCAGCCTTGTGAGAAGCAGTGGGGCTGGGCTTCCCCTGCCCCTGTTCTGCCACATCCTTGACATCTGTGCCAGGACTCCAAGACTTCAAAGGTCACTGAGAGGCCAAAAGGTCACAAAGAGGTCAAATGACACCAAAAAATCAAAGGTCATCTAGAGGTCGAAGGTCACAAAAGGTAAATGTGGTCCAGAGGTCACAGGTCAAAGACTTTTGTGGGGGGATGCACTTTCTGATATGGCTGATATTAAAGCCTCAGTAACGGAGAGAAGAATCCACAGCTCATCCCACTTCAGTTTTAGTTTAATTGAAAATGCTGCTTGTTCCTATACTCAGGCTAACTAGTGCTGTCCACATAGTCTGAAATGGGTATAGGATTAACAGGAAATGACAGCATGAGCAAGCAAGTTTCCATGCAACATCTGGCCATACAAACCTATCAATTCAAATATACAAAGCCCACAGTTCTTCTGTCTTTGCTCTTTCTAGAAATTAAAATATCAATATGAATGATGATAGAGTTTTGCACAATCATGTGTCCTCTGG